CAAAAAGGAAAAATAATTGTTGCTGATGTAACAAGTCAAAAATTTAAGTGTATTCTGCCCTAAAAGCTGACAGGGTTTGGTAAATCTTGAAGGTCTCGGGATGGTTAAGGAAATTAATAATAATCAAAAAAAAAACACCTAAAACACAAGGTAGCGTAGCCTTTAAATTCAAAGTCATTTTGTTACCTGATGGACAATGAGGAGATCGGATGTTATGTCCTCACTGAACCAATTATTTTGAAAGGCAGAAAACTATTTCATAAGGGACACGGTGCAATAAGCTTTCCCCAAAAACTAATTCCTTCTATCTTAATCCTAGTATAATTTGAGGCCTTCTACAATTAAGTGGAGATCATGAAGACTTTATGTGCTCTTTAAAGGCTGCGGAAGATTAGCTACGTTGGTATACTGTCAAGTGTTTGGGATTGGGGAGTCCTTCATACAAATCCATTGGGATTCTCCTTTTACTTTCTCTCAGCCGATGTTCACTTTTTAGCTTCTTAAATACACAGCATTTTTTTCCCACTATCAGAAAGTTTTACATTCCACCTTGCCTACTTGATTATTTAGTTATTTTCCTTTATAATTATCATTATTTTCAAGGAATTCTTTCCTGTCTGGCCACACCAGCGGTTAGGCTGACCCATTCTGTTTCTTCTTGAGCTGCCTGTTTTTCTTCTCTCCCCGGCATCAGGATGATAATTTGAATAGATTGCTTGAAGCCATTGCTGAAAATTTGTCAAAACTCCTCTGCTAGGCTGGGTGAGTGCCCCTATGAAGGGCAGGGATTGGTTGCCTGTCTTGTTCTTAGCAATCTGGGCCTTAGCCCTATATTACTAATACCAAGTATATATATTCGTTCAAACAGGAATGACATAAAAGGCTGCCCTGCCATATATTTTTAAAATGGCTCCACATACTTGCTTCTTCCTCTGCCGTAGCGCCCACTCTTTACAGATCTAAAACTGCTTATTTCCACTCTTGGTTTTTTTGTTTTTTTTTTGAGATGGGAGGTTTTCAGCTCTTCGGTTCCCAGGCACCTAGGACTGCAATGGCACTGGTCTCGGCTCACTGCAACCTCTGCCTTCTGGGGTTCAAGTAATATCTCCTGGCCTCAGCCCTTCGCCCAGATTAGCTGGGGGATTACAGCGTGCCCGGGCCAACGATTGCCTAGCTTAATTCTTTTGTCTTTTTAATAGAGATGGGTTTTCACCATGATGGCCAGGCTGGTCTCAAACTCCTGACCTCAGGTGATCCACCTGCCTTGGCCTCCCAAAGTGTTGGGAGTACAGGCGTGAATCACCACACTCGGCCTCTTTCCACTCTTTATTGAGGTCTGTAGCAAATATCACCTCCTCAAAGAAGTCTTACCTGATAATCTTATAATCTTAAAGTAGCAGCATCTATCACGTATCCCTTTTTCTGGTATAAGAATCACTACTCCTGCCCACTTTTGTTTTCCGTTTGGTTTGCATGCAATATGTTTTTCCACCTCTTTACCTTAAGTTTATTTTGGTAAGGCTCTTGAAGACAGCAGATACTTGGTTGGTTTTATTCATTCTGCCATTCTGTATCTTTTAATGGAG